GTTTGAGCTTAAAAAGAAGCTTTGGAAACAGTGTGGGAAAGACACACCAGAAAATCAAAAAGGGGCTAAGATACTCAAGCCAGGAAGCCAATTCTGGGGTGGGCTGAGCTCTTAAAACACTATTTTCTTGTAGTGCTTGCTAACCTTTTTGTGTTAGGAAATTATTAGAGAATCTGGTGAAAGCTATGGAACTTCATCCCTCTCAAATATACTACAAACATTCCCTCAAAAAGCTATGCATAATTTCAGGGAGATCTTAGAGCATCTGCTGATGACCCTCAAGTTAAGAATTCATTTAATGGAAGATTTAATTTTTTTATAATTATTTATTTAATTTTATGTATTCATTCATTTATTTTAATTTGACCAGAGAGAGATACACAGAGAGAGAGAGAGAGAGGGAAAGTGAGAAAGCAAGCCACCAGGTCCGGTACCCGAACTGCGGTCAGCCATGTGGGAGTGTCCAGCATCTTAACCACCACGCCACCTGCTGGTCCCTGGAAGATTTAATTATTGACCTTCAGGTTTGTACAGGAACTAATGTATACAATGCAGACACTTTCCTATAAAACAGAGAGCATAGCTATTTTTTTACATCCTTCCTCCCTTGACTGAGGTGAGGAGGGGGTACAAAAAAGGGGTAATGTCACTCCTAGGCTCTTCTGGTTATCCTGCGCTGTCCCTAACCCCAGCACCTTTTAAACTTTATTTCTAAAAATTTTCTTAAAGTTCGCTTATTTACCTCATCCATAAGCGAGAGAGACAGAGAGAGAGACAGAAATCCCAGCAGGATCTCAATGCCAGGATCCACCTCGGCTTCAGCCAGCCCTGGATCATGAGCATGCACATGCCCGGTGCACTCAGGGAGGTCTCTGAGTGCAAATCTGGAACCTTCCCACATGGGTCAGCCTCACAGAGTGTAGCAGTTCACTGCTTGTCACTGTCCAGCCCCTAATCTTTGTTTTAAAATAATACATATATTTTACGTTTATTTATTTTTTATTTATGATAGCATGTCACTCTGCAATCCCTTTTCCTCTAGTTCTCCATCCCTACAGCATCCTGGGTACACACGCAATAGCATGAAGCTGATGGGGACTCCAACCTCTGCTGGCCACATGGGGTCCTACTTCCTCTGTGCCGTGCCCATCTGCTGTGCCTCAGGGCCAGCCAAATTTCAAAATCATGTTAATCTCACAGAAAGACTGAAAAAATAGTATATGAACTCCCCACTCTGTCCTCCTCCCAGCCCCTGCTAACCACCTACTTTCTACTTTGTCCCCATGGATTCAACTACTCTAGGTACCTCATATAACAGAATCATAAAACGTTTGTCTTTTGGTGACTAGCACATTTCACTTCTTGTAATGTCTTCTGGGCTTACTATTTTGTATTCTTTGAAAGAGTATTTTGCAACAATAGCAAATTCAAAGGGCAATTTAGAATACTGAAAATTTCCAGGCAAACAGCAGGGTGAGCATGCCGGACACTGCTGCACCTATCACTGAAGTCGTTCACGGCTTCCTACCAGGTCACACCACAGTCCGATCAGTGACGTCATATTTTTGCAGAGCAAGGTTTCCAGTAGTGATTGTGATAAAAAGCAAGTGCTGTGGAAAAACTAACATGGAACAGGAAATGACAGCAGCTGTGTCCAGTGTAATCCCAAAATTTGAGCAGTACAAGCACACACATCCTGTTAGTAACTGTTACTTAAAAACTGCATAAATTACCTTTTCACAGTTTATGTGTTTGATGTTTTCCAGTCTGCTCTCTGTTAAGATACAAATACTAAATTGTTTGAACCTAAGTACTCCTATGTAAACCTACGAACACTGAAAAAGTTACTCAGGCACTAAGCTCTCCATAAATCAAGTTTGGGAATTCTTGTCTTAACCAAAATTCACAGAGGAAAACTATGTGATTCCAAAGAAATAACTTAAAACCAAGACTGTAACTATAATAAATGGGGGGAGGGGGGGGAATTTGAGCTAAAATCTTTTGTAAAAGTTATTCTCAGTCATCTTAATCCTTCAAATCCCATACAATGCCCCCTGGATAATCTGTATTTAAAAAAAGGAAAAAAGAAAACCTTTTAAAAACATATGCACACAAATTATTGTTTTTCCAACACTTAAAGACTCAAGCAAAGCTTTTAAAATTACAGCCTCTAGCTACTTTGGAAGAGACTGGGCCTCCCCTACACAGACAGAACACACCCGCGGAGTTAGTGCCAGAGACACAGGAGAGAAACCTTAAAGAGGGGGACTGGGTTATCCCAGCACTTTGGCTTTCCGCTTTCTTGTGGTTTGCTTCTTACACTCGATATCCTGCTTTAAAATTCATTAGGAGGGGACGAGGTGGCTTGGTGGTTAAGGTGCTGGAAACTCCCACATGGCTGACCATGGTTTGAGTCCCGGACCTGGCAGCTTGGTTTCTCACTTTCCCTCTCTCTATCTCTCTCTCTCTATCGCTGGTCAAATTAAAAACAAATGAATGAATAAATAAAATTAAATAAAATAAAATTTAAAAAATAAAAATTAAAAAAATAAAATTCATTAAGAATGCTTCTCCAGGAAAAAAACAAAAACAAAAACCAAAAAACCTCCAGATTATTGCAGAAATGCTACTTTGGAAATTTCTCTTTTGCAGCTTTTCATGTAAGATGTTACATGTGAAAAGTTAGGGGAAAATTATCACAAAATCCAGACTAATCATTCCTTGGGAAAAGGAGGGAAGTGAATGGAATACCATGGGGAGGGTTTCCCAGTGGGCTCCAAGAGCCTGGAATGTTCTAGTTTTCAGCTGGGTGAGTGGTACTTGGTGTGTGGTCTATTATTCTTCACAGTGTATCTCTACATTTCCACCTGTCTGATTGTATCTCTCCCACTCTCTCTAGCAAGAGAGAGCCTGGTCTCTAACCCCAGTTACATCAAAAGCAGTCCACTTTTACTTGGAGTATATGCCATCCAGATAGGCTGATAGCTTAAGTAGGAGGCTAGGGTTAATATTCAGTGCCACCACAGACAAACAAGGAGTTAACAAACTAGTATTTTTTAGAGAGATTTTTGCTATAGGGCCCATGTGATCATCAGAGAGACAGAAAATGAAAACTCACCCCCAGGGGGGATGGCCACTCCGCAATCCTCTCTCCTCCATTCTCCTCTTGGAATTTTAGGCATGCACATACACGTGCCTGGTGTGAGTTTAAGCTTCAGGATCTGGGACTTGAACTGCAGTTCACTACATAAGAGTCCAGTGATGCAACCATTATGCCATCTGCTGGTCCCCAAACCAGCATTTTTTAAACAAAAGTTGATTCATACCTCCCAACACCATACAACTAGTTGTATTCTGATCTCTGAAATTCTTCATCCTTCCCTCTCCCTACTTATGACCCAGAAAACTGTTCCAACTATAATCCATATTTCTAATTTCTAATTTAAAAAAATTCACTTACCATAAGCCAAACACTTATTAGAGGTGACAGAAGAAGTGAAATTTTTATAGACACATGTATAGTTACTGGTCTCATGCTATTTTAAACAAAAAACCACCACCACCCCTCGCCCTTCAATCAACACACCTGGGACCACTTTAGACTTAGGTGTCTGTCTTCATTGGCCAAGTTCTCTCCACTGACATTGTCTTGATAGACAGATTACCTTCACCTGAGTGAACACCATTGCCCTCCAGGTTCCCACGGATGCCCAGCACTCGAGCATTATCCCAAGCGTTTTTCCTGTATGGTTTCACTGAACTTCCACAATACTACAAGGTTATGTATAATACTTCCAGCTTGCAGTTCTAAAAACTAACATTTTAAAAAGCAGGATTTTCAGTCACACCCCTGAGGAAAGGTGGCCTGAGGACTCCCACGTAGATGGAGCTCTTTACCACCACGAGAACCATTTCACTATACTTCACTATGCTTAACCAGCGTTAGGAAATTCAAATCTGTCTGGGTCGCAAATAATACTCGACGTTCTCCCAACTCTAGCGAAAACCACACTCTAATTAACTCCTAAGACAGGTGTCGGTAAGCTGATTGATGTCTGAATCCAAACCAGACAAGGCGCTGGCGGCCTCGGCCCCAGAGATGCCACCTGCTAACCCTTGGCACAGCTGGGTCGCCCGCGGGGTCTCGCACCTCCCCCCGATTGAACCCCACTCGAGTGCGCCTGCACCCCTTCACAGCCCAAGTACGCGGGTAGCGGGGCGGGGAGGGGCGCTGCTGCGCTGTCCCGGCTGAGCCGGGTTATTCTGAGCCCGGCGGGCAGGCCCACAGAGGGGACCCCTTGTACACCCGCCCGCCGCCCCCACACTTTCTTCAAACTCCACGAGCTCCCTGGAGAAGGACGACGGGGAGCCAGGAAGATGAGAAAGTTCCCTACCCGCCCCCACCCCGCCCGAAGTTCCATATTCTAGGAGGCAAAGCG